ACGGGCCCAGCTTGATGCCCGGAGGGTCCCACCAGGCCTACACCAACGTCCAGGACATCCTCCACAAGGTCGCCGCCCAGGTCGACGACGGCCCCTGCGTAACCTACATCGGCGAAGGGGGTTCTGGTAATTTCGTCAAGATGGTCCACAACGGAATCGAATACGGCGACATGCAGCTGATTTCGGAGGCGTACGACGTGCTGAAGAACGTCGGAGGGCTGACGAACGAGGAATTGGGCGAGATTTTCTCGGAGTGGAACAGGGGAGAGCTGGAGAGCTTCCTGGTTGAGATTACAGCCGACATTTTTAGGGTCAAGGATGATTTGGCTGATGGCTTTTTGGTGGACAAGCTGCTTGACAAGACGGGGATGAAGGGGACCGGGAAATGGACGGTCCAGCAGGCGGCGGAGCTGTCAGTAGCTGCGCCCACCATTGCTGCTTCCTTGGACTGCAGGTACTTGAGTGGGTTGAAGGAGGAGAGAGAGAAGGCCGAGGAGGCTCTGAAGCAGGCAGGGTTTAAGGAGGAGATTGGCAGCGTGACGAGCGGCATTGATAAGAAGAGGTTGATTGATGATGTGAGGCAGGCATTGTATGCGTCGAAGATTTGCAGTTATGCTCAAGGGATGAACTTGTTGAGGGCCAAGAGTGTGGAGAAGGGTTGGAATTTGAATTTGGGGGAATTGGCTCGGATTTGGAAAGGCGGGTGCATTATCAGAGCGGTGTTCTTGGATCGGATCAAGAATGCTTATCAGAGGAATCAGAGCTTGGCCAACTTGATTGTTGATCCCGATTTTGCTAAGGAAATGGTGCAGAGGCAGGCTGCGTGGAGGAGGGTTGTCGGGTTGGCAGTGGCCGCGGGGATTAGCACTCCCGGAATGTGTGCCAGTTTGTCGTATTTCGACACTTATCGGCGGGGTAGGCTTCCAGCCAACCTTGTTCAGGCGCAGAGGGACTTGTTTGGGGCTCATACCTATGAGAGGGTGGATCGCCCCGGCGCCTTTCACACAGAGTGGACGAAGCTTGCTCAGAAGAGTGGTTCGGGAGTTGGTGCACTCCATTGAGGTTTTGTTGTTTACTAGCTTGATTTGGATTGGATTGGATTGGATGGTGGTTGTTTCGATATCAAATTTGAATTGTGTACGTCTCTTAGAGTGTTGGAGGCTTTTTTGCGTAGGCATAGCGAATAGCGATCATTGCTTCACCTTCTTACTAATAAGAACCGCATATGCCTTTTCTGAGTTCAATGAGCTTATGATTTCCTCCATTCTTCACTTCTGCATTTTGAAATACTTGCTCTGTTCGTTGGATTTCTGTTGTGTTTCTTTCGAATGCCAATGTTTTGCGAATCTGAATCTGTTTTCGTGTTTTGATTCGATAAATGGAGATAACATTTAGGTTTGTTTGTAAGATAAGAAGAAGCTTTCACTTTCTTGTGTGTATGGCAATCATGCTTCTTCAACTCGTAACTGGTAGATTAGAGTTAACTACTTCTCTAGTCATTGGATGGTTAAGTATTGACCCAATCGAGGATTACGTTAGGAAAAAAAATGGCACCTCAAAATTCAAACTTACCCGCGAGTGTGGTGATTTCGACACTCTCGTTTTATACTTTTTCAACTCCTCCTTTTTGACCCTCAATTTAAGGAGTGCTGGACTCCTCTTGTTACCGTGTCCTTGCAGTCAGCCGTCAAATCTTTTAGAACAAGGATATCCTAGTAATCATATTTGTTTCGATACAGATGAATTAGTAAACAATTTATATACAAGTAAAATCAAAGGTGTTGGAATTTATATGTTGACCAAAAAAAAAAGACTTAATTAATATTTTGACAAAAAATAAGGAAAGTGTTATTGGCACTCCAAAAATCTCATTCTACACTCCAAAAATATACTTGTGAGGAGTGTAGAATGAAAAATTTGGAGTGTCAATAAAAAGTTTGGAGTGTAGAATGAAAAATTTAAAGTGCCAATAACAATTCCCAAAAATAAAGACGTACTTAATGTGTAAACCCAAATGCTCCACAACTGCCCCATGAGACAGATGGAGAGGGCACGTAGAAGGATGGTGTGGTACGCAAGACATGGGAGGAAGATTTTCTTGATGGGGGTAGTTCAAGGTCGTCTTGGAAACCATACGCCATAGGTAATGGACTATGGTTGCTTCAAGCACAATGGAGTAATGTTCAATTGCAATGTAATCATGATTCAGGGTTCATTCATAAAAAATGGAGTACAACTGAAAGAGAGATACGGAAATACGCTTGTGTTTGTGGAAGTAGGTGTACACAAGTTGGGATTTTATTGCTAAAGAAAAGTAAAAAATTAATATATTAAGTATAAGCTTCACTCAATCAATTGTAATATAGATAAAATCATATGATGATGATTTTTCTTTTCAGTTAAATTTTTTTTATATATAAAAATTTATACTCATGTAATATATAAGAGGATAAATTTTTTTGAGGCCCCTCATAAATTCATAATCCTATGCTACTGCACCTTTTGCAACCCTCAACGCCCTGTCTAGCTTCCACCAGAAGCAGAGTTTGGGTGCCAATTTGAGGCTAGTCGGATGGTTCATTCTGAGTCACTAAAGTCGACATGTGATTGAGTCGATATGTGATAGTTATTGCCTTCGTTCAAACAAGTACCTACCGCTTTACCTTCAGATGAAGTAATCCGATGAACCGCGACATGGATAACCATTCTCAAGGGCTGGCATTGTTCTTGTAAATGCAGCACAAGATATTTTGCTACCGTAAACGCACCTGTTTTCGAGAAACAAATCCTCCTCAGCTTGTTTCTCCATTGTTTGGATCTTCTTTGTCTTTAGATGCTTTGACGATACAATCCCAACATAACCTGCCAAAACTATCGGAGGAAATCCAAGCACAAATCCTAAAACCCACAAATGCTTTAGGCCTCCTTTTCTCTTCGATGGAACAGCGATTGAAAAATGACCTTGCTCTGTGGTAAGACACACACCAGGTAATCTCATTTCACTGAGGGAAACCGTCCCATTGGCAGAAAATGATGCACATTTTTCTGCGACGCTTGTGCTTCTGTCCAACGTGAGATTCGGAAACTGAACCAATATAGGTTTCCCCTTAGTGTTGAGACTGAGCTTTGCGGAGCTTTTCGAACTTGTATTCGATGCATCATAAACTGTAAAACCAACAACAGAAGAGACTAGTGAGTAACCTGGAAGGGAGTAGTAGTGGGATGACCAATTGCCCAAATTTTGATGCACAAAAGCCAGTCTTTCACATGAGGCATTGGCATGGTTCTTGATGGAATTTTGAAGCAGCTGAAGTTAGTAGCTCCTCTATTCCACAACCGGCGGCTTAGAAGCCTCGCCATTGAGACTTCCATGCCGGATAGGTTAGCGGGGAGGACAGCCCTGTACAGAAAGCTGGTCTGCAAACGCCTTGAAGGCCAAATCTCTACTAAACACAACCGAAGACTCAGTAGTAGAGTTGCTCGAGCAGCACACACGAGAAAAAAATAGGTGTGTGAAGAAGCAAAAGCACATTGAGTTTGTGCTCATTTTTTGGATTCTCTTAACACTGAAGTGAATGTTTTAGCCTTCGTTCTATTTACTTGTACTACTTGATGGGATTCTTAGGATTTGGCTTTTGGAAAAAAGTGCTTTTGTGAGTGTATGGTTATATATTTTTTGCCAAAGGGAGTCAGCATGCCATAGTGGTCCCTGAAGGGAAGGGCCTTTTTGAACAGCTTTCTTTCCCATAGCCCTCTTTGACTTTTGTTACGGAGTGTATGTGATACAAATAACATTTTTTTTTATAAAGCAAAGTTCAAATAACGTGCGACCTAACAAAAGAGAAAACGATAAAACAAATGACAATGTAGTAAGTACCTTACTTTTGTTGTTGTTGGAGTAAATGCCTTGTATATTTGAACATTTTAGAAAGAAAACGATTTGTGCATACCTTCTTTCACTTTGGGCCTTGATCTTCTTTGATTTGTTCAATCCAATGACTAAAAGAATGAAAATTTAAATGTATAAAATGTGAAAAGGAGGAAGAAAAAGGTGGAAGAGAAGGAGTGAAGAGAGGCATTAAGTCTTGGAGAAGACTCTCAAACCAGCAGTCAAGTGGAACACAAAAAGAAAGAAATTAGATTTATAAAACTCTTGAAAGTAATGTCGACTATAGTAATTTAAAACTGTGGTCCGTCGCGTATTTATGATAGTATAGTAATTGAACATAGATTCAATCGTTTGTCGTATCTCGTATTGTAAAAGAAAATCTAATTGAGAAGAGAAATATAGTGAGATTGAAAGTTAAATCTGAAATCATACATGGTGTTAGGCTTAGAGAAATAAATGCGAGTAGTTTGATATCCATTCCCAAATGCAAGTCATAAATTTGAAATATGAGTCGAATTATTGTAATTAGCTTATTTATACACACTTCGACACGTGAGTAAGGAAATTTGTATCACAAGCACTCCGCAAAAGTTCAAGTTTTAGATTTAACTTGTATTTTCTGGTAATTTTATTTATCAAGGAACAAAAATTGCGTAAGTATTGTTGTTCAAGAATTCGACAATATACTATGTGTCACAACGCATTTGAAAGGAGTTTTCTAAATCCAAATACACCTATCTGATCTAGATGCGTCACTCCAAAAGTTCACTTAACAATCGATAAATTCTAACATATTAGGTAAATTGTTCTATTACCATCTCTCCCATAATTCGGAAACATAATTTTCTTTCATCCAATCTCTTTTTTTTCTTCAAGAATTGTTATTAGGGCTTAAAAAATCTAATTGTGCACTCCTCATAATTTTTTTTATCTAACAAGTTGCAAGAGACACAAATAAAATTTTAAAATACTAATAATAATTATTTTTTTTTGTTGAACAAAAATAATAATTAATTTTGTAAATTTTATTTATTTAACGTATTTTTAAAAACATTGGCGACCGCCCTTGCGGGTAAGCTTTTTAATTTCAAACAGACCACCCTGTTATTATGTTTAATTTACTCATTAATTTCGTTTGAATTTGGGGGAAAAGGGTTTTGCACTGCACCATGAGGAAAGCGAACGTCGATCTCTCCCGTCCTCGCATGATTACGGACTCGGGCGCATCGCCGAGTGGGCTCGCCGGCGAGTCGGGTTGCCCTAACAAGGAGGTCCAAGACTTCGCCTTTGCCTTTAACGACAGAAATTTCTCCGATCGGGTTTTGTTGATCGAAATCGTACCCGATTCGCCGGGGGCCAAATTGGATGTCGTCGGATGCTCCACGGTCTCCGATTGGGCGCGTAACCGAAAGCGACGGAGGGCGGAGATTAAGAGAGACAGTGGTATGTATCTAATTTTGCCCTTCAAGTTTTGAATTTTTTCGGTTCGTGATTGGTGGTGGTCAGGATGGATTTAGGGTTTGTTTGGTTTCTGTGGAAAAGATGGAAATTGAAGGAAAGATTTGGCCTTTAGTGTTTTCTTTTCGTTTTGAGTGTAACTGATGGGGAGTGTGTGCCTTGACAGTGCTCAAGTGGGACATTGAGAATTTGGCCTAATTTTGGTCGATAGAGTTTAGGGTTTACGAAATGTGAAGTTTTTGGGAGTTTTCGAAGAACGACATAAAGCGTAGTGTTGTTAATTTGGAAAAATATGTTAATATTAGAGAAAACTTTAATCACGTCACTTTGTTGTTACAGGATTATTAATAAGTTTCCTTTCAATTAAGAGGTTGATAGTCTTGAAGAATGGGATAACAGTTTAATTACTTAAGATTAATAGGATTGGTGGTGTCACTGGTGTCTAATAACATGGGTTTTGTAGTGATTTATTGGTTCATGATTTATTGGTTAAAGATTGTTACATTTATACCTCTGTGTTTTTTCGTGATTGATTATTTTTTCGTTTGTTTTCGTGATTATTAACAAGTTACGTTAAGAGGAGGATGATCTTATTGAAGAAAGGGGTAATAATTTAAATACTTAAAGCTAGTTATTGGTTAATATATAATGATAAGTTGGTGGTTTAATGGCTTACTACGGTTGCCTCTGTTTAACAAGTATTCCTTTTATGTTTCTAGGTTTCTTATTACCTTTTTACTCCCATCTTATGCCTTCACATTTCTGAGTTTCTAACCGTATGCGTGCATCAGTACACCTATCGTGATTACTTGAGTTTTTAAGTTATCGAAAAAGCATAGTTCAGTCTTTAGATTCAATGTGAATTTGCATGTTACTGATTTGGAGTGTAATTGCTCCTTTGATAGCTGAGGACAATGCTGTGCACCGTGAGGAGCTGGTCTTAAGTTGTAACATGCCAGATACAGAGGATAATATGGTATTTGATAATCAGGATGAGGAAGCTGTGGCAATGAATGAGTTTCCTTCCGCTGTGGGAGTAAATTTCGGTACATTCTTTTGGTCTCTGTTGTTTCCAAGCTGCCTGAACTGGAAAAATTGTTTGACCCATTTTGTCTTTAATGAAAGTTAAAAACTAAGCATACCGTCCTAAGATATACAGAATATAAAGTTTGTTTGCTTCCTACTTCTAGTAGACTGCTCTAGTGGTTTTACATGCAAATCTAAATTTTTCAGAAGACATGCAAATCTACTTTATTCAATGTGAAATAGAACACAGTTATTGCATCTGGATTACTTATGTGGCTCGTGTTACTTCTTGGTCGCCGTGACATTTGTTAACTGGTTATGGTAGGGTTTAGGGTTATGGTAGGATTTTGACAATTCACTAGAAAATTTTGTAGGAGACGACTTGGCCTGGAACCTGGACTGTCATACAGTTATTAAGGTTAGAACCTTACATGTCAGTTCCCCAATCTTAGCAGCAAGGAGTCCATTTTTCTATAAGGTGAGGATCCTGTCCTGGTGATTGCTCCTTTTGTTCAGTGGCTATCTATACTTGCTCACTTGTTCTTTTTGTGCTTCACATAGTTGTTTTCAAATGGGATGAGAGAGTCAGAGCAACGCCAAGTATCTCTAAGAATTCATGAATCTGGTATTTTCTCCTGAATTATATTATCAGCTATTACAAAATATTGGACCTATCTTTATATGGAAATTGGCAAACTGTAGTTATGCTATTTCTTTGCCTTCTCTAACAATAATTACTTTTTCTTTCTTTAATCCAACCACAGAAGAAGCACCCCTCATGGAAGTTCTTAATTTCATGTATAGTAACACCTTATCTGCGATGACACCTACTGCTTTGTTGGACGTGTTCAAGGTTGCTGACAAATTTGAGGTTGCATCTTGCATGAGAGATTGCAGTAGGTCTTTGCAGAAGTTGCCTATGACTCGTGAGTCTGCTTTGCTTTATTTGGGCCTTCCATCTAGTATTTTGATAGCAGATGCAGTTCAGCCGCTGACAGATGCAGCAAAGCAGTTTCTTGCTGAACGCTACAAAGAGATAACCAAGTGAGCTTCTTTTACTGAAGTTTTTAAGTCTTCTGATCCTTTTCTGTTTCCGCCTGTCCGTGAAGGCTCTCTTGTTTGTGTAATGTTTCTTTAAATAAGTTGGTGGAGTTTTTTTATTTTCTCAACTTATAACCACTTCTTCCCTGTTTTCCAGTATCCACATTTACTTAGATGGCCTGAATTCCTGGAAAGCATTATCCTTCCATTTTCACTTGATTAGATCAGTCAATGTTAAAGTGATTTATGTATGTTATTTTTATGGCGTAAACTGCATATTCTAGAGTATAATTCTTGAATTGTCAAACATATGACCAGGTTCCAGGATGAGGTGCTGAGCTTGCCCCTTGCTGGTATTGAGGCTGTACTGTCTAGTAATGATCTCCAGGTGGCCTCAGAGGATAGTATTTATGATTTTGTGCTAAAGTGGGCTCGGACCAATTACCCAAAACTAGAAGAACGACGAGAAGTCCTTGGCCAACGCCTTGGTCGGCTCATTCGTTTTCCACAAATGTCTTGCCGAAAGCTTAAGAAGGTCCTAACCTGCAGCGACTTTGATCCTGGACTTGCAACAAAGATAGTGCTGGAGGCTTTGTTTTATAAGTCTGAGACACCACACAGGCAGCGCACCCTAGCTGCAGCGGATGCCAATGCTGCCTGTCGGCGCTTTGTGGATCGGTCTTACAAGTACCGGCCAGTAAAGCTGGTGGAATTTGTAGAACCTCGTCTACAGTGTAGTGTGTTCCTGGACCTAAAGTGGGAAGAGTGTGCACGTTTGTTTCCAGCAGGCCGAGTGTACTCACAGCCTTTTTTCCTCGGTGGGCAGGGATTCTTCTTGTCAGCCCATTGCAACATGGACCAACAAAGCTCATTTCATTGCTTTGGGCTGTTTTTGGGGATGCAAGAGAAGGGATCGGCTAGTTTTACAGTTGACTATGAGTTCTCAGCAAGATCAAAGCCTGGAGAGGAGTTTTTGACCAAATTCAAGGGAAATTACACTTTCACCGGAGGCAAGGCTGTTGGGTATCGAAACTTGCTTGGCATACCCTGGACTGCGTTCATGGCCGACGACAGTATCTATTTCCTCAATTCCGTTCTCCATCTCAAGGCTGAGCTCACCATCAAGCAATGAGTCCTTTGTAGAGGTGGTTTGGAAGAAGCTTTAAGTAAATGCTTGTCTAACAGTAGTTTAGATTTCTGGAAGGCTTTAGGTACATTTTGGCACCAGACTGGATGCTCGTTTAATTGATCTCCGGTCGAGTTGCCTCATATGTTTGAAACTGTTTATCCCAAAGAAATGAAACATGTAGGGTTTTCTGTTTTTGTTATCTGCTCTTGAAAGTTTAAACCATCATTTCATTTTTGGATCACTCGAGCGGTAGATGATCGTTTTCAGCAGTTGTAACAACTGGCTGGGATGGTCAGCCACTTAGTACTACAGTCTAGTAGTATCCCTCTTCACTTGTAAGTTGTAAGAGAGGTCTTACTTAGTTTTGTTATTTTTATAGCATCTGGATTCAGAGTTTGGGAGCAATACTAGTGAAAACGTTAACTGAATGGCAAGCACATAATTATACGCCCTTATGATGAGTAACAATTTAAAGGGTTTTCACTAGTATACAATGATTTGAACCATCAATTTTTTAGTTCACTCTTTAAAGGTCATCTTTGAAAACGATACTTTCAAAACAAAACCTAACCAAATAATTTTTTAGTTCACTCTTCAAAGGTCTTCTCTGATACATAATAGATAAATTTCACAATAAAACTAACTCAAATTCATTTTAATTTTTATTCAATGCTATCAGAAGAAAAAGGTTGAGCTAAGTCACAAAATAGGTTAGTAATAGTTTGGCAACAAACTTGTTTTTTTTGTAAGAATCAAACTTAAACCTCCTATTTTTAGTCTAAAATTATAAGAAAGTTTTTAATGGTATTGTTCTATGATTCTCTATATATAATAATACCAGTTAACTTGATTACATGGTGATTGAAAACTGTCGCATTGCAACCTTACTAAAGTTTCTTTCTGAAATTTTAAATTTGCTGAAAAGAAGTAATCCCATCATAATTAATCAACCATCTAATTAGTAAGCACTAAGCATAGTACCTTTGATTAAATGGGAATATAACTCGTAGAATTATTAGGTTCTTGATTGTGATTTAACGTCCAAAAGAAATGAAAGAAAAGAAGATTATGTTCATGTTGCTTCCCTAATCACTCTTAGGCCTCGTTTGGCAGCTCGGACTGTACTGACTATTTCTGTCGGATAGGATAAATAGTCACCGGATAGTACTGACTAAATTAGTCGGGTGTTTGGTGCAGTATTGGACTAGTGACCGTATTATTTATATTGTGTTTGGTATTATACTAGATAGGAGGAATCAAACTTAAAAAAAAAAAAAATTTTAAAAAGTGAAATCATTTTTTTGTTCCCAGATCTCTCTGCACCCCCCAAACACCGTCCCTCTCTCTCACTTCTTCTTCCCCGACTGCAGAAAAATCCTAAATAATTGTTCCCCAGCTCTCTCCGCCACACCCCCCAAACTCCCTCCCTTTCTCTCCCATATTCTTCTTCCCCGACTAAATAATCCGGGCGTTTTGGTTGGTTTTATTAAGCGGGTGTATACCGTGTTATCCTATCCAACCGGTTAAATTAATCCGGCGCTTATTTAGTACAAGTGAACGCCAAACACCCGAGTCCGTATAACTAATCCTATCCGATCTGCCAAACAGGGCCTTAGGAAGAGGACGACGGAAGCCGTGTCTATTTGTACTGTCACTTGTGGGCCAGTTTGGGATTACCCATTTTCTTTAAAAAAAAAAAAAAAAAAAAAACTACTTGTGAGGATATGAAGGTTAAAGAGTCTCACATCGGTGAAAGAAGTTCCAAAATAAATCGATTGAGTGTTTGATAAACTGTATTTTTAAAAGTGTTGTGAGTTTGAAAAGTACTGTAAAAGCGTAGGCGATGATGATGACAACGGTGGCGAGGACAATGGTTGTTGATGGTGGTGGTGCCAACAAATGGGTGTGGTGGTTGAGCTACATAGGTAACAATAGTGGTACGGGCATTGACAACGGCGATGGTTGTGGTTGTGGTGGCAGTGATGGCGATTATATTTATAGTGGATGAAGAAAGTTGAGGTTCCACCATCAAACCAATTGGCAATATGGAGAGTAGTCCAACCTCTTATAAGCCCATGCAAGGTCCCTCCTCCCATCAATGTGGGACTCATTCTCAACACGCCCCCTCACGTGTGGCAAATTTTCCAACCTAACATGTGGACAACGCAAGGTGGTGATGTGGAGCACATGTGGCCGTTTGGCTTCAGACGTGGGACAACCTGCTCTGATACCATGAAGAAAGTTGAGATTCCACCATAAAACCAATTGGCAATATGGGGAGTATCCCAACCTCTTAATGCAAGGTCCCTCCTCCATCAATGTAGGACTCATTCTCAACATGGCAGTGGCGGCAACGATGGTAGTGGCAGTTTTGGTTATGGTCGTAGTCGTGGGGGGTTTGGTTGTGGTGGTGGTTGTAGTTGTGGTTGTGGTACGTAATGTCAATTGGTGGTGGTGGTCACTTAAGGAAAAGGATCCTTGCAGAATCCTTTTCGTGGGGATCATAGGGATCCCGTAATCATGATCGTTCATCGTACATTGTGCGGTTAGTTTTTGTTAGGTACTATTTATATTTAATTTTAAATTTTAAATTTTGAAATGATTTCTGACCGCATGATATACGATAAACGGTTACAATCACGGGATCCGCAGGAAAAGGATCATCGCTGGATCCTTTTCCGTCACTTAGTTCTTCAAGGATAAAATGTCTCTAGAAGGATAAATAATGTCATTAACGGCTCAATTCCATTTTTTATTAAAACAGCTTTTAGAAGCAACTTACAACCTGCTTTTAAAAGTTGTTGAGGCAATTGCTTTTAAAATAAGCAGAATATTTTATTTTTACTAAATATTTTTTTACTGCTTAATTTTAAAGTGAAGTAGTTTTTATTTTTTGTTTTCTACAAACGATATTATGTATACTAAGGGGGTGAGAGAGTGAGCTAATCCTTAATGTGGTTCTAGTTTTCCTTTGGTGAGAATTGAACCTAAGATTTCTCACTTACGAGTAAAAAGAAATATCACTAGACCGTAGTACTAAATAGCAATGTAAAACAATTTTTGATGAAAAAACAATATCAAACTAGCCTTAATCTCGAAGTACAAGCCAATGACATAATCTTAAATATCGCTAAAATGCTAGAGACGTGTTGTGACACCTTTTGTTCATCTGAAACGAGTGAGTATTTCATTTGTTAAATACACATCACTAACTTCATTGAAAATGATTAATATATGCTATATGGATGCTTCAACAGAGAAAGTAATATTCTGTCTGTCTCTATTTAGTTCTTAAACAATATGAAAGTAGCAACAGCTCTGAACCATTAACTTGTTTATATTAGGAAAATGTTTTGCTTTATAGCCAACCCCGGCATGAGGAATTGAAACCATGCGTCTGTAACACCAAAAGTTCCATTTTGTTTAGGCATTTTATGTAAATTTCTAAGCATCTCAACTTTGCAGGGATCTGCTTGTTTAGTCATATCAACAAAGCTATCTAGACAAGCTTTGAATTTCTGAATCATTAACTTGTTTATATTAGGAAAATGTTTTGCTTTATAGCCAACCCCGGCATAAGGAATTGAAACCATGCGTCTGTAACACCAAAAGTTCCATTTTGTTTAGGCATTTTGATGTAAATTTCTAAGCATCTCAACTTTGCAGGGATCTGCTTGTTTAGTCATATCAACAAAGCTATCTAGACAAGCTTTGAATTATTATGTCTGGCTATAAGCTTTTGAATATACATTATCACGAACAAAAGGCATGAATATCACTCCCCTAATAAGAATCAATTTACAACTTAAGGGCAAGCCACTTTCTTATCGTTACATTTTAGGGAGCTTTAATAAAAAAGGCTTGGATCAACAAATATTTAATCAAAAACCATCCCAAAATGTTATTTAACTAAAATGACTCACAGTTTAATAAAAAGCATCCTCCTCTCACCTTTCTCTAGCTTAAGCGGTGCAAGCTCCGCGCAGCACTTGGGTTTTTTCAACTTCTCCAACAACAACGACCCCAAAAACAACATCTTCAGTGTCAATTTTGATGTCTTCGAAAACCAAGAGTTCCAGGATCCTGATGACAACCATGTTGGTTTGGACATTAACTCCCTTAAGTCTAATGCTTCGAGCACCGCAGGGTTTGTTTGTTGACTTTTTTTCTGATGGTTTTGTTGATGGGTTTGATAGTGTGGGAGTCGATCGTTCGCCTTGGAGCTTTGGGTTTGGTCATGGCGGAGATTCTAGAGGCTCATCGCCCAAACCAGACACACAAGATTTGGAATTTGGAATTTGGAAGAAGAAATGTGGGATACTTCGTTGAGGGGTTGGATTGTAGAATCATAGGATTAACGCATCTATAAAGGACAATAGCTCCTTTATTATAGAGAACTTTTTCTTCTACCTATTGACTAGGGTTTGACTTTTTTAGCATGAAATTGTTTTGACTCTTCGAACTGCGAGGTTGGACTTGAAATTTCTGTTTTCTTGGTTTCCCACTTGGTGCAGTTTGTTGAGTCACTCATCCCTTAACACTATTGAACTAGGCAGAAAAAAGAACCAAAACATAAAACTGTTTCTGGAAAAAAAAAAAAAAAAAAAATCAGATACAGTGTTTGTTTTGTTTGTGCGCAAACAAAACATTGTATCTGGAAAGAAAATAACCAAAATCCAGAAACAATCTATGTTTTAACCTTTGACTATTTTTTTTCATGCATCGGTTGATTATATTTAAGAAACATGATGCTTAATTTGCTTTGAATCCAAATACAGTGAATTTCACTATTTCTTTTCTAGTTTACATTTAAGAAACAGTGTGTCTATTTCATTTGGATCCAGAAACAGTAACTTAGATTCCATAAACAGTGTTACTTAGGTTTCAAAAACAGTAACTTAGGTTCCAAAAACAGTGTTACTTAAAATCCAGAGACAGTTTATTTTTACAGTCCAGAAACAGTGACCCGTCGTTATTATTGAATAGCATGCAGATCTCAAATTTATTTTCTGGAGAAACAAACGATGAACTCCACTGACGAAGAAAAATTAAAAAACAGTATTTTGAATACACTATGAATAATAACGACGATCACATTTCAACGAAATAATGCAAAATATAAATAAAATAGCATGAGGATCTATATTTTTGTTTTAAAGAAAAAGAAAAAGGTCTGCAAAACAATGATGAACTCCATTA